GGAAGGAGCGGAATAGAAGGAATTTTGAAGATATCTCCAATTCCATTCACAAGGTTAAATGGAATTGCATTGTATCTCTATATTTTTGGTGTAAAGAGATAGGATTAGAGGATTCAGATCAACTTTTAGAACTCTTAGGATCCTTGTAAGTATTATGCTTTTTGTTCTTTTTTGAATTTTTTAAAGGTCCCCAGCATATCCTTAATGCTGAAGAATACAATGTTTACCAATTCTCAAAAAAACAAAAGTATACGAATGGATCTACCAAACTTATTGAAGCTTTAGAGTAAGTAGCACTTGTATAGATGGTCTTATTTCTTCCATTTACTGCATAACACTCTGGTGCCCTCAAGCTGACAAACTCACAGAAGCATATGCGGTCTTAGCTATAATCTGTTGACAAATTTTTCTTCCCTTTCCATCCACCAACAGACCTTGTCTATACTTTATTCTAAAAATTTAACAGACTTTGCCTATATACCTCTCAATCAACTCCTATTTCCTTCTAGGTACAAATAAGTTCCTTTCTCCCTTCTGAAATTGTGTTTTTGTTTCCCTTCAATCACTCTTGACATTATTATCTACTAGTTTAAATCATAGGATGATTAAGTTGAAATAGAACCTTTCACGGCCTTTGCGGGGCTTCACATCAACTTCTCAAAGAGTTCTCCTTTTGGAAAATCAGGTTGCAAACATTCACTAACTAGCTAACATCCTACAGTACAACATTTGTTCTCTTCCCAAGATATATCTGGGATTACCTTCGGGGGGAAAAAGACAAATCCATCAATATCTGGAATGGGATAGTTGAAAAGATGGAGAAAAAAACTGAAAATTGGAAATGGTAGCACCTATCTTTAGGAGAAAGAGTCACTCTTAAATCATTTTTCTTGATGCTCTTCACACCTATACCATGTTCCTCTTTCCTTCACTTGTGTCAATCTTAAAGCATTTTAACAAGTTGAGAAGAGATCTCCTATGGAACCGAGACAAATAGGGCATCTCTTTATGTCTCGGCAAGTGGGACAATGCTATCAAAAAAGAGGAAGAACAGGAGTCTTGGGATTAAGAACTTGAAGCACCATAATGAAATTTTTATTTTGAAATGGCATTGGAACAAAGAGAACATGTGGAGAGAAGATTATCCATTGAAAAGTTCAGTTTGTGTAATCCTGGGCACAAAAGAGTCAATAGCACATCATGGCACGGGTGTTTGGAAGCATATTCGTTCTTATAGAGGCAAATAACTGAAAATTATGGTTTTCTACTAGGCAATGACTGGAAAATTAGATTTTGGAAGGATACTTGGTTGGGTTACTCATCTGTCAAAGACCAGTTTCATGATATCTTTAGTATTTCTTCTCTTTACAACGCCGTGATAGCTGATTTTTCCACTTCACTAGACTGAGCTCTTGCCTCTTCCTCAGAAGGAATTTAAATGATTATTAAGTATAGAAGACAGTAATTTGTTAACATTGCTCAGCAACTTCGCTCAAGATCAACAGAAATCAGATTACTTCATTTCGAGAGAAATCTAGACACATACTCTTGATCTCAACAGCTAGGGAGGCATGCTTGTGCGCACCTCGACCAGATTACTACGTCTTTTTTTTATAATTGTGGTGTCTAGGCCAGCTTGCGCGCACCTCGACTAATTTCATTGGATACCTTCCACCTCCAACCAACAAGTACTAGGTAACTATATCCACCAAGGCTAGGACAGTAGAAATCACCTAGTGTTTTTATCTCTGCTGGAATTGAACTTGAGAGCTCATGTTATTCAATCCACTTCATTGACCACTAGGTCACACTCTTGGGTGCCGCTACTACCCACTATGAAAAGTGTCTTAAAAAGAAGTAAAATATGGAACAAATATATGGCCTTCAGAAGAAGTCCGATGTCAAAAAAAATTCAGCAGGATGATAAATACAAGAATGATTTTTTGATAAGGTAAATACAAGTATGATGTTGCTCACCAGTTTAATAGCCTGAAACCAGGAAGTTGCTTGTCTTCATGCGCTTTCCTAAGTAGATTGAACAACTCCTTTGCCATAAAGATTTGTATAACTACTACCATGGCCCAAATATAAAGATGTCCCATGTAAATGATGAAAGCAAAACCACCTATCATCCAGAGAGTTGAATATAGACGGATCAACATTGACTTATACTTGTTTCTATCGTCAACAAGCATATGGGCTCCATTTGCTTTGACAACCTCCCCAGGGACCTGAAATTTAAGGAAGAGGGAGAACAAGAACTTCAGAAAAAATTGAGACCCATAGCATCTACAAGATTCCAAACCAAAACCTAGTATTTTCATTCCAATTATAAGACACTGATTCTGTCTTGAAACATTCCAACTTGTTTGACACCAGAAAATTTTATTTTATAGTTTATACCACTTTCACAATTTTAAAGAAAAGAAATATTTAACTAATCAAATTTTAAAGGTTAATGAGATGCTTTCGGACCACGACTTCATTATTATTTTTTCACTACTAGTGTACTACTAATACAATACAAAAAAATCAAGTTAATATCATAAACATATTATTCATCAATACCATAATATAAAATGGAACAGAGGAAGTAATACACTACTTTTGTCAAAAGGAACATTAACTCTCTAGGCCGTTCCGTTCCCTCTGGACACTTTCATTTTCAAATTAAACTGATTAAACAAACTAGGAGCAACAGGAAAAATGAAGCAGCAAATGGAGTCGACCACTAAAAAAACACTGAAAGAAAATGGAAAAAGTCACCTCATTTGATCCTCTGCGACGACGTAATCGTGGCGAAGGTGTTCCTGGAGCACCAGAATTAGTATCCTTTTGCATAGCTTCAGTATCAAATCCTTACTCTACTACTAATGCATGAATACCTAAAACCACCTAGAAAATTTTAATATAAAAAAATAAATAATAGAAGCTAAAGTAGTTATAATTGGCCAAACGCAAGACAGTCATAAACAAATTGATCGGATAGGTATGACCAATCCATTCTGACTCAAAAAATAATAAAAAATTCATTCCCGTTTTGGGGTGTATAAAGTCAAAGAGCAATTCAGGCATCTATCTTACTGTATGGCGCAATTGGAAGATCACTATTTCTCCTGGGAAATTCAAACAAATTCATGGGATATACAGAGAACAATATATAAATTAACGATATACACGAAGCTCAACAACAACAACATACCCAGTATAATCCCACAAGTGGGCTCTAGGGAGGGTAGAGTGTATGAGGCTCAAGAATACAAATACACAACATAATTACAGTTACACCATTGAAATTGCAGCTCTGATAAAGAACTACACATCAAATACAGAGAAGGTGCATTGGCAACTGAAAGTTCAAACCTTTATGAACCCCACACAAGAAAATCAATAAAAAAATTCAAGAATTCATGAACCCTAATCAACACAAGTAGCAAAATACTCAAATATAGCAAAAAAAATTGAATCTTGATTACCAAAAGCAACATTTTTGACAGTTTCAATCCACAAATAGCAACAAAACTGAATCTTTATTATCAAAAAGCAACATTTTTTGACAGTTTCAATCAACAAATAGCAACAAAACTGAATCTTTATTATCAAAAAGCAACATTTTTTGACAGTTTCAATCAACAAATAGCAACAAAACTGAATCTTTATTATCAAAAAGCAACATTTTTTGACAGTTTCAATCAACAAATAGCAACAAAATACTGTTTTGCACAGAGGGTCTTCTTCAACCATCAAAAAAACAAAATTTTCAAAACAACAAAAGCTAACAGTGGCAAAAAAACACAGCCAATTAAAATTTAAACATAGAGAGTAGAAATTAAAGAAATCGAACCTGTGGCAGCAAAATATGAACTCCAAGAATGAAGGAGTTAAGGGCTTTCTGGTATTTTTTTTGCTACATTTGGATTATAACAAAAGAATTAAAACCCAACCTCTTGAATATTCCTGATTTTTATGGGCTTAAAGCAATACGTGTGTCGTCTTTACTTGTCCAGTATTAACTTAGCATATATTAAATAAAAATAAATAAAATAATAATTTTATCATATTAAACTTTTAATATAAAAAATTCAATACTTTAAAGATAATTTTAAAAAATAAATGGTAATGTGTTTCTTAATTTTTTAAGCTAAACCAATAAAAATATGAGTCTCTAATTTTAATATAATGAACAAATAAAAGTGAACCGAATGAATATTAAATTATCAACTAAAAGATATAAATATAAATCCATAAGTAGTGGCATCATTGTCTTTATACTCATGTTTTCGATAACAACAAAGGAATAAAAGCAAGAAAACAAAAAAACAAAAAACAATAAAAAAGGCATAACGTATATTGCACTCTCACTCTGTGGCTTTTATTTGCCAAAAAATTATTCCTTAATAGAAACATAAACTATTTTTTTACCAAGAAAATGGAATTGAAGATTTCTTTTTTAAAAGGAAAAACAAATGGTCAAGGAACAAAAGAATTTCAAGCTAAATATCAGATTTCAGTACATTTTTTTTTGTAAATAAATAATTATGTAATGTAGATTATTTTTAATATACTAATCAAATAATGGATAATAAATAATATCAATGTATCTAATGAAGCATAACTAATCCATATATTCTTAAGGGAAAATGGTCAAAAATGCCCTTAAATTATGTGAAAGAAACAAAAATGCTCTTTGTTTATAGTTTGGCTCAGAAATGCCCTTACCGTCAATACTTTGGCTCAAAACTGTCCTTGCAGTTTACTTTGATCCAGAAATGCCTCTATAGTTACAAAATGGGTCAAAAAATGCCCTTTTCTGAATATATATATATATATTCTTTTTAAACACAACTTCTTCCTAATTAAAATATTATTAAAGAACATTATTCTTGTTTTCTTTCTTCTAAAATCACTTTAACAAATAAAAATGTAGGTTAATCTCATTTTATCAATTAAAATAGAATAATTTCATGTGCCCTTTCGACAAATAATATATGTCATATATATATAAGATCATAGTATATCCATCATTAATTTATATTTATATAACGATAAAAAATATTGATAATAAAATAAGAAATGTTTTCGTTTTTTATTATTTTTTATAGAATTAAAGTAAGATAAACATTTGCTAGCTTTAAAAAAAATATTATTAGAAAAAGAATGCGTTAAAGAGAAAATAATAATATATTAATTTGGAAAATGAGCATTAATGATCCATAAAATAACAATAAGGGCATTTTTGGACCAAAGTATTGACAACAAGGGCATTTTTGGACCAAACTACAAACGGAGAGCATTTTCTTCCTTTCACATAGTTTAAGGGCATTTTCCTTTTCCCTATTATTAATATACCTTATTCGATACTCCCTCCGTTTAAAAAAGAATGGTCTAATTTGACTTAGAACGGAGTTTAAGAAAAGAAAGAAGACTTTTTAATTTTGTGATTTTAAATTAAAGTTATGTCAAATATATCAAAATGTCTTTTAATCTTGTGGCCTTAAACATGTGACGTGAAAAGTTGAAGTTAAAGTGTTACCAAAAAAGGAAAGAAATCATTCTTTTTTAAACTGACTAAAAAGAAAACTAGGTTATTCTTTTTAAAACGGAAGGAGTACTATTTTTATACCTCCTGCTTAGTCATTATTAGTTGAATTATATGCTAAAATTGATAATAGGATAATCATGGACAGAATGTCAAACACTTTTAGAACTAAACCATGATTTAGTATTTGATTGGACACTTCACACTTGTCAGTTAGGAGCTTTTTGTTGTTGCAATTGCCAGCTATAAAGCTTAGCCATTTTATAATAAAAAATTCAACCAATAATTAATAGAGGCCTGAGGGTAATGAGTTGGAACTGAAAATCTTGAAATTTAACTAAATATTTGAACTTTTTTTTTCTTTCATTACTTTGTAATTTGTAATATATTTGTATCTGAATTTGAAGAATCAAATGTTTTCTGGGGGCCAATTATTTTTCTTTCCTTTTGCTTTCTTTTCCATTTGCTTGTTATATTTATTTTATTATTCTCTTTTTTTTTTTGGTTCCTTTCTTTTTAGTGGGTTTGTTAAAGGACAAATACCATCATATTTTTAAAAAATAATAAATTGAAAAGCTAAAAAGAGGAGGCTTTTTTTGTTCTTTTTTATGGCAATGGCATATACTTTTTTTCCATAGTAGAGCTAAGCATAAATTCAATGGCTAAAGTAGACCACTTAATATGACTTAATTAGCACTAAGAAAAGAGGGGAATTTCAATATTCATTTACATCGTGAGTTTCTTCGTTATTTTAGCAAAAACTATTATTTAAAAAGCAGTTATATATAATCCAGACAAATACTATCGAAGGTAAGGGTGGGGTGAAGATGAGGTAAGTTGAAGGGTAGAGAAGACACAATCAATAGGGAGCGTCACTTGTACAACTTATTTTCCTTGTTTCCATAGGGAAAGTCATTTTTTCTCATTTTTAACCAACTTGTCTTGGTTTCGAGCACTGAGTAAGGAAAAGTCGTTGGTAGAGTGATTCCTCTGCATGAGCCCTACTGAACCAACTCCAATGTAGGTACCGAACACCGAATGGAAAAAGCAGAGGACAACTTCTGATAAAAACACTTGTAAAGAAAATGAAAAACTGTTCAAAGAATCAGAATTTTCACTATTCAGCTCCAACACCAATTGTAACATTCTAAATATGTATCTCAGCCATTTTCATTTCTCCAAATACATTCTTAGCAAAAGCTGTAACACAACAATTTTTACAGTTATAATATCACTGATAACTCATTCACTTCCTATAAGTAATCCAACATATACAAATTTTCTTGTGTTTCCTATTTTTGATTTGGTAAGAGAAACTATGCTAACAATGCATTTTCTTTTCCTTTCCTATTAAGAATTTTACAGCTCTAGTCCATCAAATCCATTCAGTGAAACTGGCCCAAGGGAATCACCGTCGATGCTTGCAAGAACATCGAATTTCCTAACAAGGGTTCTACTCCATCTCATAGCATAAACCACAAATCGGACAGCAACTTCGTTCTCAATCCTTGACTGATCATTGCATATGAAGAAAGGGTTTTCACCTGAAACATAGTTGTAATTTGGCATCTTCCGAACACTGAGATAAATAGAGTTCATAGGTCCACATTTCAGAAAGACTCCATGCCTGCAAACCTCAATGACAATACCAACCAAGACTTCCCCGGTTTTAGGTAAGAAGGTACGACTGTGGAAGGTTACAGGGAACATGATGTACTTTGATGAGTCTAACAACTTTCCACTGCCTACGCTCTTCACTTTTGTTACTTTGAGAAAGTATCCACAATCTTCTGTAGCCCTCAGAAATGTGAGCTGGCTAAAAAGACGTCTGATGACAATACTTCCAGGGAGTTCCCCGCTTTTTTTTATATCTTCCATAGGAACTACCACATATAAGCGAACTTCAAAGTCACACAGCATTGAGTCCCTACATTCAAACAAGAAATAAGATAATTAGAACAGAGACAACTCTACAATAAATCAGCCACATCCTCATGTTTTCCCTTTTTATTCTGCTATAAACATTTTTGTGCTCCGATCCCCAGGGGCGCACCAAACAGAATCATATCAAAAATGATGAAAATGGATGGAGGCATGGGGAAGAGATTATGTCTAGAACAAATTGGTCGCAGGCTCTCCCAGATATAAGTAAAATTTATCCATATTCATTAGCTCGAATCAATAAAAGCACCTCACATGGCTGTGAAAACGGGAAAGGATTAAAGAAAGACAAAATGCAGATCAATAGCTAATAGCACAGAAGGGAAATCCAAGACCAACAGATAGAGTCGTCTAGTGCATAACCCAATGGCTTAATCATGTAATTTAATCCAACAATTACCTAAGGTAACACCCTAGTTAACTATTACTATGAGCACAACTATTATTAAAAAGACTTTATTGGTGATAATACGACGAACATAACTATATATTATTCAAGGTGATGCATCAACAAAACAACTATAAATGAAACAAGCAATTTGATATGTTAATTTGGCATGTGGAGCAAGGAGCAGCCTTAAGACCATCTCCCATTGACAATGAGATTGGCACCTACCCCCAGGTAGGGAGTGGGTGGAACCTAATGAAGAAATACATTCAGAGGGTTGTTTGGTTTGTGTTGAGGAGATTTAATCTCCACATAAAATTCAGCATTAATTTTACCATGTTTGGTTGGGTTTGATAAACTTTAATCTTCACAAAAAAATCAACACTGAAGAGGAGTCTTGGAGTAACGGTAAAGTTGTCTATGTATGGCCTATAGGTCATGGGTTCGAGTTGTAGAAGAAGCCACTAATGCTTGCATTGGGTAGGTCGTCTACGTCACACCCCTTGGAGTGCATCCCTTCCCTAGACCATATCGAAGATGCTTTGTGCATCGAGCTGCCCTTTTTACACAAAAATCAGCATTAAGTTATATAATGTTTGGTTGTTATTTTTTGTTTTCCTCGTAAACAATACCTCCTTAAGTTACGCATGAATCTATATATCATTTTATGCCATGTAGAATATTGCATGATTGAGACACCATTCATCCAACCAGCATGTTCAAAAGAGTCTTCAAATGGAAGCTTTACTTGAAACGTTATTTATTTCCATGATTGATTTCATTAGTTCATTACACTTTCTGTAAAGTTCTTACTCCTTTTTGGATGTCATCTGTAATAGCGTTCTCTTTATGCTGCTTCTAACACCAATAATTCTTAGTTTACCAATAAAAAGGAAGTCTTGAAGACAGTGGGACTCTGCTCAATAGAAACTGGGAATGTAAAATACAATATGGTTAGATACAAGCAAACAGAGCAGCCGACAGCCGGGCAAACATAGCTCACGAGAGTCGAGCAGAAAATTCTGCTTAACCTCAACTGCTGAGAGATCTTTTGGAGCTTCTAAAATAAGAGTTCCTCAGTGTAACTATTACCAGATTCTATGTCTTTGGACCTCACAGCTTAACTAGGAGAATAAAGCCCAACCATGTGTCTTCCCAAAATCTGATTTTTCTCCCATTACTGAGAATAAAGCCCATATTTGACTTGAATTTGTTCCAATAGCCTAGGATATGCTTCCACAGTCCAGTACCATGAGGTACTGTAGAGATTTTGGTAATCCAGGGAACCTCAAGTGTGAATTTTTCCACTAAAACCCTCCTAAAAAGTGCATCAACCTCCTTTTTGAATCTCAAACGCTATTTCATCAACATGTTAACATTATAATACCAAGACCACCTTTCTTTTTGCCTCGACCCTCGGGTAACTGCTTTCCAATTCATAAGACAGAAAGGATTAGATTGCTTATTTCCTTGCCAAAGGAAGTTTCATCCCAATCCGTTCAATCTTTCCAGAACCGAGGAGAGAGCCGTTAAAAAGAGACATGGTGTAAGTAGGAAGTGCACTGAGCACACTGTTGATCAAAGTGATTCTCCCCCTAATGAAAGATATCGTCTCTTCCGGTTTGCCAACTTCTTTTTCATCTTCTCAGTTACCTCATTCCATATTCACTGATTTATATTTGCTTCCCAGAGGTAAGCCCAAACTATTAGTAGGAAGCGTTCCAATGTTGCACTGCAAAATATTGGCAAGCTAACTTATATTAGGCATATCATTGACCAGAAAGAGAGAAATTTTGGTGAAGGTGATGTGTAACCCCGAGACAGCTTCAACACATGTTAAGATCATCCTCAGAAATCAAAACTTGATGTTCCTCAGCATCACACATGCTCATAGAGTCATCTGCATATGAAATATGAGTGGCTTCGAGATTGCGGATGCCTCTGCGGTCCGCATGAAAATCTCAGACCCAATTTGTTTGTGCAGCACTATATATATTCTTGCTGAGTCCCTCCATTGAAGAGAAAAGGAGAAAGGGAATCTCCTTGTTTAAGTTCTCTTTGTGAAGAAAAGAAATCCTGGGGGCTACCATTGATGAGAACTGAGAATTTTACTGAAGAGACGCAAAATTTGATCCAATTAATCCATTTGAGACTGAAGCCCTTCTGCCTCAACAGGTTCAGTAAGAATCCCCAATTGACATGATCAAATGCTGTTTCGATGTCTAGCTTGCAAAGGATTCCAGACTTTCCTAACTTCATTCTTGAATCCAAACATTCATTAGCAATCAATGCCAACTTTGTGATGTTTTTGTTGCTAAAAAAAGCCATTTCAGAAGCACTGACTATATTGGAAGCACTTTTTTAAGTCTATCTGTCAAATCTTTGGAGAGAATCTTATAGAAACTACCTATCAAACTGTGTCTATAATCTTTAAGCTCCTTTGCACCAATCATCTTGGGGATAAGAGCAATATAAGAAGCATTTAAACTTCACTCAAAAAATTTGAGATTGTGAAAGTGATCAAGAGTATTCAGCAGATCCACTTTAATTACTCCGAAACACTTTTTGTAGAAACCCATGGAGAACCCATCCGGATCCGGAGCTTTGATAATAGGAACACCCCTCCATCCTTTTCTACCTAAATATCATACTTGGTTCTCCTAGAAGATTCAAACTCATGATGTATGTCTTAACTGAAGCAGATCTACAGGGCTTTTATCCATACCCTATATATAGGAAATTCACTTAATTTTCTTTTTAAACCGTGGCGTCCAGGACAATTTGCACATACCTCGACTAATTCAACATGACACCTGTCACCTCCCAACCACCAATAGATACCAGGTAACTCTGTTCACCAAGGTTAGCACACATGGAAAGAAATCACCTAATGTTCTCGTCTCCGCTTTGATTCACCTATAAATAGACTTAATATCTACAAATATTTGACTATGAACCCATAAATATCAAATCCTGGATCTAGTGTCTACCACACATCCTGAGTTATACAGCATTTCTCATTTAATCAAATCCGAGGATGCATACATCGATACAAAAATTCACATAACAAAAAGAGCATAACACCTACATTAATCCAGGAAACTCAAGACTCAACCTTTAAACCTTTCAAAGGGAAGCAGCAAAACACGAAATTCCAAAAACACATCGTTTCAGATGGAATAACAATACAGAAACCCATCATTCAAAAACCACAAATAATCAACAGAAAACTAAAGAAATACAATTTCATTGATAACCAAAGATTAGTATGAAATTCTTACCAGGAAAGATGAAAACTTTGCACTAGCTTTTTTGGGGAGGGATTTATGAAAACTATACAAAAAATGAAATGGGTTTTTATAGAGATGAAGATTGAGGACTATGGTAGCACTTTCTTGACATCTGAGTTTGAAATTATGAAGATCCAATTACTGGGTACACTGTCCCATTTCTGCCATTGTTAAACTGTAACCTCTTTCTAAATTTTCAAATAGGAAACTTCATTTTTTAGGATAAATTGCATCAAACACCCCTATAATATTAACTTGGTTACAGATACATCCACTTTATATATTAATTAAAATTAAATGCTTATATCTTTTTATTAAGTGTTAATCACTTAATTATTGATTGATTTCTTTGAATGTAAATCAAATTCAATGAATTATTAAGTAACTCAATTATCCATGTGTTACATTAACTTTTTATGTATCTATTTATAATATATAATATATTTTAATTATGTAAAAAGATAATACTATAATTTTTCATCATACTTATTCGGACACATCACAAAAGTGACACTTTAATGAGGATCGAATGAACCCCTCGCCGTTACCCGAATCTGCCCTAACCTCATTACCACCCGCACACTCCACCACTCATCTCTTCTAGTATTTATCTAATCTAAATCATATATAAATATATTTAGATAATATTTTTTATTTATATCCTAAATATTGAATAAAATTTAAAAAAATCACTTGTTTTTGGTGGAAATATTTTTTCATGAAAATATTTTCCTGCCTACAAAACACACCCAATAAGTATAAAAATCTTGTTTATCACAATCCAGTCACTGAGATGATATTTTGAAGGAGAGAACAAACCCCACCCAAAACCCTCACACTCTTTTGCTATATTCACTTCTATTCTATTTTCTCTGTTTTTCAGTTCTTTTCCTTCCATTCTGTTCCTTTTCTACTTATACATATGCATTTTGGTGTATCTATATATGTGTATATGCATATAATTTGACCATGGCTCTAGTTCCCAGCCACCAGTTCTATCCCAGAACCACAAGGCTGTCATTCCTCAGGTATAGTTCATCCAAACCTTTCAAGAAACCAAATTTTCATGCCCCACATGATATTGTCAATCAAGATTGTATTTTTAAGCAAAACCCACCAAAAAGATCAAATTTTATGATTACCCCGCATGATGTTGTCAATCAAGATTGTATTTTTAGGAGAACCCCATCAAAAAGATCAAATTTTGTGGTGAAAAACAGCAGCAGAAGATGGAATTTGGATACAATATCACCCAATTTAAAGTCTAGAGATAGTGGTACTAGTGTATTTAGTAGTTCTTGGTTAGGTAAATGGAATGGAACCCGTAATGATATTAAGCTGAAAAAGGCCCAAATTGTGTTGAATTATAGGAATAGTAATGGGGATACATCTGGTTCTGACTGTGAAGAAAGTATTAGTGGTAGTACAATGGATAGAATTGTTGAGAAATTGAAGAAATTTGGGTATGCTGATGAGGCTACAGAGAAGGAGAAGAAGGAAAAGAGAGTTGTTGAGAAAGGGTCTATTGAGGATATATTTTTTGTTGAAGAAGGAATATTGCCAAATGTAAGAGGTGGGTTTTCTGAAGAATCTCCATTTGGGGATGAGAATGTAATTGCCAAAGATGGTGTAGTTAGATTTCCATGGGAAAGACCATTGGTGAAGAAAGAGGAGAGTAATTCAATGGCTAGTAGGAGTAGGACTCATTTGGCTGAGCTGACACTTCCTGCCTCTGAGCTCAGAAGGTTGACGAATTTGGCTCTTAGGATAAAGAACAAGTCGAGAATTACTGGTGCTGGTGTTACACAACAAGTTGTAGAAACCATTCGCGAGAAGTGGAAAACATCTGAGGTTGTCAGGTTGAAAGTTGAAGGTGCTCCTGCACTAAATATGAAGAGAATGCATGAGATTCTAGAGGTAAGCCAAAGAGTTTTTTTTTTAACTGTTCTTGTATGCCTCTGCTTGTTGGTGTTATTTGCTTCAGTTTGTCTGTGATGTTTTGCTAGTCTGTTCCTTTTGGAGCATTTAAGAGCTCGGATTGAATCAGTATCCGAACTCTCTTATTGAGAATGTGAACATAATTTTCCTCTCCTAAATGAAACGTAAACCATGTATGTAAGTGGAGCACAAAATTCTACCCCTTTCTCCTGGTAATGGGAGTAGAGAAAAATTATTCATGTCTGCATCAGTCTTGAAGCCCTGAAGCAAGGCTCTAAACGCGTTGAACGCTTCGCCACGCTTAATGCGCGCCTTCAGTGTCATCACTAAGGTTCTACGACATGCTTCCTTGCCAGTGAGTCTCTTCTGAAGAGGCGACACTAAAAATTTTATGCTTCACTTTATCGTATTTTTTTGTTCATATATTTGTCATTCATGCTTATAATTATTAGCCCTGGACTGGACATATATATTTGTATTTTTCCTCCATTTTCGCGTTTTTTAATTAAAACCCACAATTTATTTGAATCTAATGCCCCCCACAGACCTTAGAGCTTTTTTGTGCCTTTTGCTTTTGATAACAATGTCTGCATCACAACTGAGCAAATTTAGGATGTGTTTTGGTTTCAGTTAAGGGGAAAAGGAAGTATTTCAAGTGCATTTTTTTTTTTAAATTGGTATTTCAAGTGTATTTTTAGTTTTTGCTACGGTTCAAAGGCTATACCATAGTAAGCAATTAAGCATACTAAATAGTGGTGTTTAGTTGTTTGATTTATCTTGTATCAACTTTTCTTACTCAATAGTCTTTTATCTTGTATTGAGTTTCATCGGGGAAACATGTGTAGAAGCATTCTTGTTAGAGCCTTTATGGATGGCTATCTCTTTAATTTTGCAGCATCTTTGAGATAAAACCGCTTGAGTGTATATTGACAATATTAGCTGTCTCTTAATGAGCAAAGAGTTAAGTTTTTGAAGCATTATGATCTCATATAATTCACAATGACATTTTGTCTTTGTTTAGCTTTTATCCTTCACTGATTCATTTTTTCCGACTATTCAGAGGAAAACTGGTGGACTGGTGATTTGGAGATCTGGCACTTCTGTGGCTCTTTACAGAGGTGTCAGTTACGAGACTCCATCTGAGCGAATGAAGAAGAGGATAATGAGAAGAGATGAGATTCGTCATAAGAACTCTCCAATAGTTGATGGCGAAAGTAATCAGAATCCTCGCAATGATGTGGATTCCCTCCGAGAAGACTCTGTAGATACTTCTGAAGAGAACAAAAATATTGATAGACAATCAGAAGTGAACTATGAAGATGAAGTAGACAAACTGTTAGATGGCTTGGGGCCTAGGTATACAGATTGGCCAGGATCCGGTCCACTTCCTGTAGATGCAGATTTACTTCCAGGTATAGTCCCTGGATATCAACCTCCTTTCAGAATTCTTCCATATGGGGTGAGATCTACTCTTGCGGCAAGAGAAGCAACTGCTTTAAGAAGGCTTGCCAGAGTTCTACCTCCACATTTTGCTTTAGGTATGCATCGCTGGACTTGTCTAAGTATTTTGGATTTCTCAAAATATACTCTAAATATTATGTAGTTCAAGTATTCAGGTAGAAGCAGGCAGCATCAAGGTTTGGCCTCAGTCATGGTTAAGCTGTGGCAACGAAGTTCAATTGCAAAGATTGCTATAAAACGTGGCGTTCAGCTTACAACAAGTGAGAGAATGGCTGAGGATATTAAGGTACTAAAAGAGTGCTTTGGTGTAGTTCTGTACATTATTCACAAAAAAGTGGTGTCGTTTCCATGCCTTCTAGTTGGTATTCTACTGTGATATACCAGTTATTTACTTTCAAGTCACACTTTGTTTGGTTCAATAGGCCTTACGGACAGTTGCTGATTTAAAACAGACAAGACAGAATTTCATTCCAAAAGAAAAGGCAACGAAAAGCTTACTTAAATACACATAGAATGAATGAATTATGCAATTTACCAAATTCTCAATGTTTCAAAAGTATATATTGCAATGATATTGTCTCATAAAAGGATATTGTTACGGTATTGTATGTTTGTCCAACCAAACCCAAAGCAAGTCTTCCAAATGACATTTCTGCTCTCTGGAAGACTTGTGTGCTGACTAGGATTAGTTCTTTGTCGCCTCTATACTGGATCATAGTTGCTAGAAGACAAAAGAACCACAAGGTTGAATAAAAAATCATATTACACTTGGAAATGTCTTCACAAGTTCCATTTCTAACATTGAAACCATTCTCACTGTTATCAAAATGTTTTTTCAGACTGAGTTTGATGCTTTCCCGAGATCTAATTAAGAGTCAGATATTTTCTGTCACAGGCCAATATTTTTTGTATTAACTGAATGTCGATAGCATAGTAATAAAGCTTAACAATATCTACATATTATTTGGCTTTGTGTTCAGAAATTAACAGGGGGTATGCTACTATCTAGAAACAAGGACTTCTTGGTATTCTACAGAGGGAAAGATTTTTTGTCACCAGAGGTTGCAGAAGCCTTGTTAGAGAAGGAGAGATTGGCAAAGACCTTGCAAGATGAAGAAGAGAAAGCTAGGCTACGAGCATCACTCTTACTCACAGCAGGTGTTACAACAATTAATTCTTCAAGGACTGCTGGCACACTAGGAGAAACTTTGGATGCTGATGCTAGATGGGGGAAAAGGCTGGATGATAAGGACAAGGAGAATGTGATGCGAGAAGCAGAACTATTAAGGCATGGTGACCTGGTCAGGAAGCTTGAAAAGAAACTTGCATTTGTAAGTTCTGCAAAAGCCAGGTTACTTTTATTAAAAGCCTATTTGTTACTGGTTTTCTGTTTTCTGGCAGCTTTGTCATGATTTTAGTTCTTTCAATTGTCTATTGTAAAATTGTGAGATAGCTCATTTCAAATATGAACCGTGAAAGTAAGGTCTTCACTCTTCAGTGTGTAATATCTTGGAGATTCAAGAGTCCAGTGAGAGACATTAAAGCAAAATGTACTTTTCAGGCTGAAAGAAAGTTAATGAAAGCTGAGCGTGTCTTGTCAAAGGTGGAGGAAACTTTAAATCCTTTGGATAGGCGTGCAGAACCTGACAGCTTAACAGATGAGGAGAGATTTATGTTTCGGAAGCTTGGGCTAAGGATGAAAGCTTTCTTACTTTTAGGTAACTTTCTTTCTCAAACTCGATTTTTGTGCTGAACAACCAGAAAATGACATGAAATGCTCTTCTCTTTTCAGGTAGACGTGGAATTTTTGATGGTACGGTGGAG